CTTTTAGCTGAGAAAAAAGGTTCGGTATTTGTAACTGTAATCACGTGGAGAAATAATTACTATAAATTGTAGTCAAGAAAATTCTTCTTCTTTTATTATCATTCTTTTTTTATTGAATTTTATTATAAGATTGTTAATGGTAACAATTTTGTATACACGTTATGTATGTTACTACCATTTTCGTGTTGAAGCATCCAGAAATATAATCGGAAATATGGTCAGAGCTAAAGATAACTATAATAATTTTTGTTAGATCAATAATTTTTTTTCTCAATATTGCGATTTCAAGCGACAATATTTTTACTATCAGTTCGAAAGTGAATAATACTGCCACTTTCCACTCGTTTTGAGTGAGATTCGCAGAGTGCTGCAGCAGCAATCACTGGAAGAACGATCTTTTTGATTATAATTGCTTCATTATGTAATTATAATCATAAATACCAAACACATATATTTCCTATTGTACGTATCGAATTTTCGAAAATGGGAATGTGTCGTAATTTGATATTTGCTAAATTTATTTTATCAACGTATGTTAATATACACTCGCGTAATCTATTACAGAGTCTCTATTACAGAGTAATCTATTTCAGAGTCTCTTGAAAAATTTAAATGTACGTGCCACGATACCATTCACCATCTGCGAGAGAAAGAGTGATGAAGAGTAGTACCATCATCGGGTTTTGATTTAGGTGTATAATGCTGCGTTGCGCGCACAATGCGTCCGTGGAAGAACGGGGACGGTATTCTTGCTCGCGATCAATTACATCTCGGTTTCGACAGATTGCAAATGGCCTTTCCGATACGGGGAACACGCGGAAACGAACGATCGCTCGTCACAGAGAATTCCCGATTATCATCGACGGGGGGCCAAGGAAAGGGACGGTCTGGATAATAGATGACAATCGTTAGGTAACTCGAGCACGAGAGCTTTAATTCTTAATGCGCGCGTGGACACGGAAAAGAGACAATGCCGGCCAGGAACGATTTGTCTCGATCGCCTCGTGCCTCGAGGATGCCCCCGGTTGATTCGACATGCACTTGCATTTCGCGATCTGCATGCGTCATTTCGTATCGTCGTGCACGAAAGGAGATGGAATATCCGCGGGGGAAATTACACGGAGGCTCGTTGAAAATGCGCGAAGCGATACAAGAGTGTTTCGTATCGCCGCTCAATATTAATTCTCGCTCGTAAAAATAGTGTGTGTACATTGGCTGAAAAAAAAAAGTAAGAGCGGATAATCCTCGAAGAAAAGCGTAAAAGTTTGAGCAGTTTAATGCTAGTTCTCCAGATTGCTGTTCCCCGAGACACCATTTGCGCCATCGACCTTGAGGAGCACGACTAATCGCGCCCGTCGTCGACGTTCCGTCGCGCTGATCTCGGCGTTTCTTATCACGCGCGTATTCTAACCCCGACGCACCAGTCGCGCCGCACGAAATGCGGGAGGGTTATATACGTTCTCCATAAATTACGCGTTATACAGTCCATTCAGGCGCAAGATAACCGTCTCGCCCTCCCGTCATCTTCGCGCGCGGTCATCTTCGTCGCGTTCCTTTCGTCTCTGGACGAGGGCTGTTTCCGCACAGTTTATAGGGACTCGAACGAAAGTGCCGGGCTTTATCGGCGGCTAAGAGTCGCAATCGGAGGCGCGGAGGGAGAGGGAAGAATCGCGAAGAATCTCTCTGGTGAGAGACTCGAACTGCTGCTACATACTTTTTCTACGTCAAGAGGATTCTCTTAGACTGAATATTATCGCGAGATTATTTCGCGAAGAGAAGCGAGACAACACCGAGTCTTGCTGTCCATCTCTCTTCCTCTCGAATTTTTGATAATAGTCTTAAAATATGCTCATCAGAAATTTGAGAAAAGTTCATTATACTGCAAGGAAAAATTGATTCAGTTAGGCGCACGTTGCAGCCGACGGCTCAATCTAAAAATCAGAACGGTGGCGCCGAAAATGTCTTCATCTTCGGAGGATAGCGTCGATAAAGGCGGGCAGATGATGGGGTTATAAAGTTACGTCGTATAGCTCGCGACTGGAATGGCTGATCGCCATCGCGGGAGGGAGACACACGCAACAACCACTGCGCGTGCGAGCCCGTCACGGGGGCGAGAGGAGTCGCGATCGTAAAAACATCCCGACGATATCGCGGACCGCTACCGGGGACCTGTCGATAAATATGTTCGACCCGGGCCCGCGGGAATCATTCGAAAGTCGGATAGAGACGACGATCGGTCAAGTTTGGGAACAGCCCAAAAGGTAGTAAAGAGGCGGCGGAACGTCGCTAAGTCGTCATAAAAATAACGACGAGGCTGCGGATTTTATGCGGCGGAGTTCATTTGCCGACTGAGCGGGACTAATTCGGGGTGAGCTTATCGCGGACGGAAATGAACACGGCAAAACAAACGGAAGTATCTGTTCCCGACTGGCGAGGCTTTATTCCGGTTTGATACGTGGTCGTTTGTTATATCAACAACGTAATCGGAACTTACGTATACCGGCATGTGGAGTTCGTGGATCCGGTGTATGCGTGAATAAGCGGGCAAGCCCTTTTTCCACGGAGTGATATCGAAAGGGACACACAAGGCAGCTGCGAGAGCGGCGAACGCGAATCGTTCCCTTCCAGTAGTAGAGGAGTAGGTTTCCGCGTTATAAATTCCGCAATGTTAAACGTCGTGCGCCGTCCGAGTAAATTGAATGTAACAGCCGGGCAATAGATCTTGCGCGATTTTATCACTCGGCGAGTCATCGTGAAGATTTGCGGAAATAAAACACTCGCTCTTAACCCTGGACAGTAACACGCTCTCGTTTTATGCGCTACGCGAATATTATCAGAAAACTGATTTAGAATTGATCAAATCACTTACCCTAAGTTGTGATCATTGTTTTCTGCTTTTTGTTTTACCTATAACGTGGTCTTCACGCATAATTTTGAGGGATTTGTGAAAATAAATTTTAGTGAGATTTACATCAATACGTCTGGAAGGAGCTTGATGTTACTGTCTGATACTAAACAGTCTTGTCAAGTTGTCTACTAATCCAGGCTAATGGACAGGCCTCTTACTGTGTCAACATCCAACGTATGATACCCGATAAATAACAGAAGAATTTGTTTTCTAAAGACGAAGGTGTCACTAATTAGAAATTAGGATCAAACTTTACTATTGGATCATCAGACGTAGTATGAATCCTGCTCACGCAACACACATAAGGAGACCACACATAGCTATCATGAGCCTTGCGCTAACTAGAACCCTGATCTCTCCTGATCGCATTCATAGATTTCCACCTACTCGGCGAAAGATCCTTGAAAGATAAATGAGCCTCTGAACTGATCGGAGATACTTCGTATGCGTTGGACGATATAAAAGTAACAACGGGAAAAAAATTTTTTTTTAGAAAGTATATTTTTACGATTATTTTCGTCCATTGCGAGGCTAAGAATCCGCGACCCTCTTTTAGGACGGCGACTTAACGAAACGATAAAACGCCGGCGAGTTTGGGCAAGAGTTCTTCGCGGTACTTCGCATCAACTTCCGCCTGTCTCGTCCGCGATATAACGGCCAGTTTAAAAGGAGCCATTTTTATTTATCGCACCGTCTCTACGTGTGCGCGTCCTTCGCTCTGAAAGCATTCCTCGGCGCGCGCGCGCCCGTCTCGCCGGCTCGCGCCGGGAGACGAAGACGAAAGGAAATTGTTATCGCTTCGCGACGCGGATACTTTCGTATTAGGGTAGAAGCTTTCCGAAATTTTTCGGAGATCCTGACTATACTCGATTCAATTTGCCTAATGAAGAAGGCAAAGGAGGGACGCACGGCGCTCTCCGCATCGGCAGAGAACTATAAAACGCGGCTTCTATGATTCACTCCTCAAATTGATTTTTTCTTCGACGATACTCCCGTATGACCGTGTGTGCGCGCGCGCGAACGCCATAGGATGCCGTTTCGCCGCGAATTTCGTTAGGATCCGAGTCGAAATTTTGATCCTACTTTCGACCTCAAAATATTCTATTCAACATCTGTTTAGATACTTAAAAATCTACATTAAAACATATTTTAATTCAAAGACTACGGAAGTCATAAAAAAGCCACCCGGATTATAGGGGTTAAAGAACCTTTCCTACATTTTTATAGGGGTTCTATATCTTCGTAGATAGTCACGTGACTTACAAGTAAACCTACTCAAAAGGTACTCTGATTTCTTTCTAATTTGGTACAAATGTAAAAATACAAAAAAATATTTAGGTCATATTTTTTCATTTTGGCCCACTTTGAGTTTCACGGGCAGTTTATAACTTTTTAATATTCTCACTCCTATCACCAACGAGTGCAAAAAATAAGAAATAAAATTGAATACAAGATGGGCGTTTTTGGTTTTTCTGATTATCAAATTTGTGATATATGAAGTTAAATGTGTAAAATTATTTGTATAAATAATAAAATGTTTAAACAAAACATATAAAAAGTTGAAAAAAAATTATGCAAGTAATTTCTCGGTTTGGCCGAGATGGGAATCTCTGACTAATTTAGCACAGATTTAAAATATTTCGGTTGAAATCTTGGCTAAAGAAATTTAGAATAGTTCGTACCTCAGCTATGCCGATTTTGTTAAAATTATTTAACTATATCTTGTATTCAATTTTATTTCTTATGCATTTTTGTTGTACTTATTGATGATAAGAGTGAAAACATTAAAAAGCTATAGACTGTCCGTGAAACTCAAATGGGCCAAAATGAACAAAATATGACCGAAATATTTTTTGTATTTCTATATTTGTGCCAAATTAGAAAGAAATCAGAGTATACCTTTTGAATAAGTTTACTTGTTAGATATTCTGAAATCTATATATCAATCTCTTTTGAAACTATATAATCTTACGTTATGTCTATCGAGTTTTCTCGCTACAAGATGAAATGAGTTACACAAATAACGGGCGTTTTTGTACGCGCACCAGAAATCCTATGCTTCCGCTGATATCGCGATTCGTTCTGCTTTCAGAACTCCATACGCCATAATCTGTCGCTGCACAACAGGTTCATACGAACGCAAAACGAGGGTACCGGCAAAAGTTCCTGGTGGATGATCAATCGCGACGCCAAGCCGGGCAAATCCGCACGTCGCAGGTAAGTTCTCACGCGGCCGCGACCGCAATTCCGATCGCGCGAGATGATTTCGCGCATCTGTTCGTTTTCCTTCTTCGACACCGCGAACCGAGTGTGTCGTGCTTTGCGCAGAGCCACCACGATGGAGAGCACCGGAAGTCTGGAAAAACGACGCGGCCGCTCGAAGAAGATCGCCGACGCTCTGAGGAACGGTACGCTGCTGGCGGAATCTACTTCCAGTCCCAGCAGCAGCGTCGGAGAAGGTCTTGACATCTATCCGGACAGTCCTCTACCCGCCAGCGGATTTCAGCTCTCGTCTGACACGTTCCGGTATGTTGTCTATCGATCGCCATTTGCGATTCGCGTTTCGTTGACCGTTGATCTCAACGAATTCAATCAGAGATTCAATTGATGATTGATATGAGCAAAGGGAATAAACAAGAAGGGAACTCAAGTCGTAATTTTAACTTCACTTTGGAACCTGAACTTTCTGATATCTATATATTCTGAAAGATTAATGTATGTATAATACACATGGAAACTGAATCCTACTTAGCGCCTGTAAAGGCACAAAATTGCCGCTTAGAGATTCTAAAGAGGACTTCTATACAAGTAGATTAAATAGAATCAACACAAGTTGGTATAAACTTTAGAGTACCAATGTAGGTGTATTTAATGGAATATCGAAAATAGGATCAAAATTTCGCGCACGACTCAAGAATAACAAGATTTCTGATTAACTTGAATAGAATTTCGATAACATAAACCGGAATTTTCTGATACGTTTATACCTCACCAGAAATTGGCTAATCCAACGAAACTCCTTTTTCAGTGAATCGTTAATTAAATCGTCTTTCATTAAATTTGCTAAATTCTATTATCAATTAAACAATCTCTTTAATTCCCTATGATGATATCGATCGTTAATTAAATGCTCAATTGAATGATCTTTCATTGAATTTATTGAAATCCAACGGTTTGAGATACGAGCTGCATAAGTAGGAGACGATATGCAATTTAAGACGAACCGAGATATTTCTGTTATTGCAGTCCTCGCGCCTCGAGCAACGCGTCCTCTTGCGGCCAATTGAGCCCTATCCCGGCGGTTCTCGGGGAACCAGACTGGACACCGACCTATGCGCCTTCATACAGCCCGGAACAACAGTTGGGTACGTATTTAACATCAACGTACTTCTCGTTATCTTTCGTACCTTAGCTCGTAATTACCCTCTAATATTGAGAGTGCCGAAAATCCAGAAAAAATTCTTCACACAATTCCCTGTCCCTGTCGACAGTTTGCCGTCCTGCCTGTACATTCGATCGACTTGCAACTTCGAAATTAATTTGATTCTGGAGTCGCGTCACGGATCGCGAATCGCGTTCTTCACGAGTCGAAGTGAACCTCCTCCGCGTGTAACCACACCTCTCCGTTCCGGCTGGCCGCGGCTGGCTGCGCGATTAATACGTCGTGTGTCATGCTCGATAGCAGACTCGATGCTAGCAGGCAACCTGGCGGAGACGATGAAGTTGGAGTCGTACCAAATGTACCAGACGTCACCGCCCGGCCACCAGCAGCAGCAACCAGCCCCGCCACCTTACTTTGAGTACCAGAGGAACAACGGCCTACGTACCCCGTCATCCTTCGGCCTGCCACCCACTCCGCAGTCAGCCAATCAGCAGAGATGCCCGATCCACGGTCTGCAGCCGTGCGCTTGTCAGATGGTGAGTTTTTCGTGACTTTTCGACGCGGTGCGGTTGCGGATTTCTCGCACGAGCTCATCCGCAAAGGAGGACATCCGATGTTTTTATGATGCGCATGTTCGGGCCTGGCAATGTTGCAAAATCAATAAGGATCGCGAGATGTACGTTTTGCACACATGTACAGCGGCCCGAATGCCACCATGCCGACGGTGGCTTCCGCGTAGCTTGTAGGGGCCACGAATTCTTCAGATAGATTTTCATGACTATCACGACGTGAGACAATCAAATGACGGGAACTCTGGAATGTTTTCAATTACATTTATGAAGCGAATCTGTCGTTGTCGTCGTCGAAGGGCCGCTCCTTTGTGGATATTTTAACCCCGGCTGTTTTCCGTGACAGCCGCTATTTACACAGCGATATTTTTGTTGTCTTGCAAGAGAAGATTTGCAGCGGGAATACGGCGAAGGGCTTATTTACATTTCATTACTGAAACTGGTTTAAAAAAGCATCATACGCGCTTATGAAATTGCAGCGAGACGTATTTTCGATAACGCTACAAATACAAACACACTCGGGCCAGGCCGCGACACGCTGTCGCCCGTTGTAATTGATCAATTTCCATGATCAAACTTTCATCACGATCAAGTTTTATTACTTATTTTATTGCGTCGCACACAAAATATGTGCGCGAGGTATTTCCGAGGAGTTTGTGAATCCGCTGAAATCGGCACGCCGAGCAACGAAACGAGCTTCAACTCGCGAGATTAAATTTCTAACGATTCGTGGCATATTTAACGTACGGCAGACGCGAAAGCCGATATTTATACGAGCGAAAGTGTCATTATTATACTTTATCGTGCAAACAGTCGCGAAATATTCCTCGCTTAAGAGTCGTTATCTTCCGTCATACGCGTTACACACGGCGAATCGAATGCGCATAATCGCAACCACGTTTTTGCCTCTTTCCAAACCCGCAAATCAGAATCTGAGCCCCGTGTCCGGCATGTCACCGTCGTATCAGCAGAGCGAGCCCAGCCCGACGACACTAGGCAACAATCAGCAGCAGACGCTGCAGTATATGATTCAGAGCCAACAGCGCCAGCAGCAACAGCAACAGCAGCAGCAACACCAGCCGCAGCATCAGCCGGCACAGACCGGGCCAGCAGGTCCTAGTCCGCCCAACACGCCGACACCTTGCCCAGCTACACCCAGCACTATGATGGGTCAACTAATGGGCGCCCTCAATCATTCCGCCCTTCTTGATGACCTCAATATCAACATCGAGTCGATGCACGGCGGCTTCGACTGCAACGTCGAAGAAGTAAGTCTGGCCTGTCTGGCTACTACTCGCGCTTAGTGTTTCTGAAAGTTTCTCCAGATTGTATTCTTCGCGTGACTCGAATTGAGGTTGAATACATTAATTGCGTTTTCTCTCTTCGTAGACCCAAATACAATCTTTTACAATACTTACAATACAATGCAATATTTTCCTTTTGATTTTAGAAGAATCCTTTAGAGACCATATATAAGAGGATACCCGCTAAAAGTAGAATTATATCTTTTTGGATGTACTAGAAAATTAAAATCCAAATCTCGCGTCCGCTTTGAGCTCTGATGTTTGAGTCTGCAGGAAGGAAACGATCGCGTATGAGTTTGCAGTTAATTTCAGCTTTTCTCTTTTCATTCGGTTTGCGAATAACTAAACTGCGCTTATTCTCCTAAACGAATTAACTGTTCGCGCTACTCTTCGGAGAGGAACACTGGATCCGTCTTTATATGCTAAGCGCGTCGTTCGACTCGCGAATTGCAGGTGATCAAGCACGAGCTGTCGATGGGTGGTACGCTGGACTTCAACTTCCAGCAAGGCGTGATGGGCACCGCCGCGATCCAGGTGAGCGATGGCAACATCGGCCAGAACGGCGCCGTCAGCCAGAATAGCGGCGTCGTTGTCGGCACGACGACCGGCAACGCACCTGCGGGCGTATACGTCAGCACGAACGCGGCGACCCCCGCAGCGCCCCCTTCGTGGGTTCACTAGCAGTTAACCCCCCTGCCCTCGACACCCCCATCGTCCTTGCCGATGCCGTTGTCCGACGGGCGGGATAACTTCTGCGGGACGACCGAAGGGCAGCTCATCGGTGAGTCTTTCTTTGGAGCTACGTTATTCTTGCGTTTATATCAGTTTAGCTTATCGGGACGAGCTTATCGACAGATTAAGTCGAGTTAGACAGCCACTCGGGTCTACTCGCGCTTCGAATTAGGCCGATATTATCTTTTTAGAAAACATAAATTATGATCCTCTAGAAAGACGTAAGGTATCAACGTCTTAATACGCTGTTAACGTTGGCATCTAACTCCGGACGTTCCTATTGTTCTGTAATACGGATATTTGACTTTCTATATAGAATATAGAAATTTACTATATAGAAACTTTAAAATATAGAAACTTTCTATATAGAATGTATATATGTTCTGATTTAAGTAAACATATTCCTCTTGATCTAAGAGAACGTTAGAATAATATCTAGTAGGTTTCTGATTAATAGCTCACTTTATTAGAAAAGGAATATTCTGTCGGTAAGAGTTTTCGCTTGGAATATAGTATTATGAGAAATACCATATTGCAACCAGAATTCTTTTTTGGATGTTGGAATATTCTCCTTTTAGTTTTAGAAAAATTCTCTTAAAGTCGCATGTGAGAGGATCCCGCTAAAAATGAGATTATATATCAGCTGAAGTAGATATAAAATGTGATCACTTATCTATGAATTCATTCCTAGCTTCATAAGAATTCCGTATTTGTATTTTATATTTTTATCGCTTGCACAAAGCCGGCGATAAGATCCCCGCGCGTATGCACTATTTTTATGCCGTTTGACAATCTCGTCACGACGGGAGCCACAAATATTCCACGAGCAGCTGATAACCGCTTCTCATTGCTCAATCCCGTCGCGACTTCGAGGCAGAAAGAAGATATGGAATGCACCGGCCACTTTTCAGGCGATAATTTTATTCGAGCGTATTACGCAGCCGCGGAATAAGATGTATATCCACGTCACCCGTCCGCGAGGTGTTAAGGTCCGCGGGTCGATATATCATTCTCGCGTGGCTGATTAATCATACGGAAGTTCGCTCGGGATCCTTCCCAAGCCCCCTCTCATCCTCTTCACGTCGCGTTCTCGCGCTTACGATCGCGTAGCCATGAAGGAAGGGTGCAAGATCCTTCTCACAGCGGAGATAGAAACAGGAGGAAGAGGGTTATCGTTGATTGCCCTTCCCCCGTCACGCGCATGCAAAATAATAATATTTGCATACTCGTGTTATAACACAGTATTTACGTACGGTATTTAATAAATCGCTTCAATGTTTTGTGCCGCCGCGCCGTCCCCAACCCTTCCGTTATTTCGTGCGTGCCGACACATTCGTATGTATAGCGAGCGGGTGTTGAACGGTGTTTTGTGCGAAATCGCTATTGACTTGGACGCGATAACAATTACATCGCCGCGGGCCCGTGAGTTTTATGAAGAGCCTTAACACAATATTGCTGATCGCGATATCGCGTCAAAACAGTCACATTTCGTTTGACGCGGAAATGCGAGCGACGAGCAATCAACGCTCGCAAGGGTAAACATTTGCGGGATCTCGGTGGTCTCTTCGCGCGAAGACCTTCCGAAGGTTTACGTTTGTTACGACAATAAACGTCCTGATAGAAATGTACACGGTCTGCGCGGATGTCTGCTCACTTATTGTGCGAAATTAATGCTTTTTCATTAGTTGCAAAAATAGTGCGTAGGTATTATTGAACAGGAACTTGATGGAGCTTAATTCAGTGGTCGAAGCAGTTTACTGTACAATATGTGAACCGGTTTTTTCCAAGTATACAGTAATAAACAATATTAATTTAATTTGTACACGTGTTATAATATACAATATGATTATTTTTGTGATAATGACATCTTCTTTCAATTTAAAAACATTCTCAATTCAATATTTTGTGCTTTGCATTCGTGAAAACTTACTTCTGAATAATAATACTTTTCTTTATTGAATCATATAAAATTTATTGATGCAAGTAATTTATTTTCGTTTGACGTTATGTAATCTTATTTTACGATTTGCACGTCAGAAATAAGCGCATTTTCCACACAGGAATGTCGTTCTCTCTGTGCAGACAAAAATTAGCATAATTGTCCAGTAACTGCTCGAAAATTGCATCAGATTTCTACCAAGGTGTGAGTATGCCGTTTTTACCGCGCGTCTAAAGCGCGAAAAAGATCAAACTGACGTAAGGATTAAAAATCTGACATTCTCAGCAAACGCTACAAAGAGCATCTATTTGTTAGAGAATTAATTCTAAACGCGCAGTGTGCGCGCGTATGTGTGATATATATTGCCAGAGTTGCCGTTGTTGGTGATTTTTCACCATTTGAGGATTTTTAAGATTTTTTGGTAATTTGGTGAATAACTTTCTTTATTTAGTGATAAAAATGACTGTGTTCCGAAATTCACTGCCAGTGCAGAAATTTTATAGCATACGTAACATGAACTATAGATTTTCAGTACTGGCAGTGAATTTCGGGACGCAGCCATCATATAGCGAATTCGATTGAATGCATCAGTGCGCACTGAGTATACACTACAAGGCTTGTTCACAGTTCTTTTTTATTTTTAAGGTCGTCTTAAATACATCTTCAAAAACTCCTTAGCCAACAAAACACGTACGGATGCTGTATAGATAATTTTGCTGGCTGAGATGTATTTGAAGATGACTTAAGATGATTTTTAAGTGTAAGAACGAATTATAAACAAGCTTAGTGTACACTCACTACGCACTAATGCATTCAATCGAATTTGCTATTAATAACAATTTACAATACGCTAAAATTAATTACAAAATAAGTTTTCCTCTCTCTTTCTCTCTCTCTCTATTTACGAGTATATTTTCATATTTTCATGTTTAAATATATTATATTAATTTTATTTATATTTATGTTTAAATATATTTATTAAAATATTAAAAATCATTAAAATTATTTTTTTTTATTCGAATTTACATACATTTAAAAAAATCTGGTGAAAAAAGTTGTAATCTGGTGATTTTTGAAATAGAAATCTGGTGAATAAATTTTTGGAGCCGCGGCAACACTGATTGTTGCACTATATTACTATATTTTGTAGATTTTGACGAGTATAAAACGGTTCTCTTTAATGAAAGCCAGAGAGAAGGGCAGTGCGCGAATACTCGACTATTTATTCGCGCGTGTCTGCGTGAGCCGATGATCCCTTTCTACGTCATTTCGCGAAGCGTTCGTTTACGGCGTAGTGAAATATTCTCGCACCGCTTTGCGGCGACCTTGGACGATTTACGCGATATTACACCGGTAATCGCGTCCGGATAATGCGATCTCTCTTTCTCTCTCTCCCCCTCATTTCCCTCCTTCTCTCTTTCTCTCTCTCTCTCTCTCTCTCTCTCTCTCTCTCTCTTGACCTCCCTCCGCTTTCGCGGCCGTCAGCAACGGAGAGTGCTCTGTAAAGCTTGCGATAAAAATTAAAACGTTTTCGCGTCCCTTTACGTCGGCTCCTTTTTCACACCACGTTCTCTTTCTCTCTATCTTCATCTCTATCTCTCCTTCTCCTCATTGGGGCAACGACGACGGCGACGGCGACGGCGGCGGCAGCGGTGGCAGGGATGGAAGGAGAGCGGTGTAAAAATGTAACGCGATTTCTCGCGGAAAATCGCTTTTGCCGTTGGTACTTCGCAACAACGCGACTAAAATAACTCCCACTTCACTGCCACGGCGCCTTTTAATCTTTCGCACGCACAAGTGCGGCGTATAATTACAGCTTTATCCTCCCATCTCGTCGCGGTCGTCGTCGTTGTCGTCGTCATCCTCCTCTTCCTCCTCCTCCTCCTCCTCCTCCTCCACCTCCTTCTCCTCCTCGTCGTCGTCGGCGTCGCGCTAATGGAGATAAAAATGCCATGCGAACGCGCGCGGATGAGCGTTCGACGATATTAATCATCCGCTAGTAATCGCGTTCTAGCGTGTGCCTGCCGGCCGAATGCTGCTTGGTCGGAACGTTAGCTTCCTCTGCCTTCTCTTCGCGTGACCACCGTGATCATCTTTTTCCCCTTCCCGAGGAGGGACGCCGAGAACGAGGTGTAATCGTCTACCGATTCCATTCGCAAACTCGCAGTTCGCGCAGAAAGCGCCGCGATGGCGATACGCCAGTGTCGCGTTTTAACCACCCAAGCCTCAGGCGTTGGTCCCACTCGAGTAAAACTTGTTTTTTCATTAAATAGTCTTAACCCGAGAACAAAATGGAGACAAGATAGAGTATGAGCATATCTCATACGATACATTTTGTTTGATAACGTTGACATCACTGACAAGCGTGGATAACGAGCATACACAAAAGCGCCAACTGTGTATTTTGAGACATCAATAAAAGAAATGGTGGAAATAAAACTTGCTTACTTTTCTTCATGAGAAACTTTACACAATTTCAAGCGCCAACGATTCTGCTCCCTGCACACATAATCGTCATATTGGTTTCAGCAGGGAAATCGCTGTTTTACGGGTTTGGACGAAGAATACTCTATCTAAGATAGATTCATAGTGTTAGCTACGGCGGAGTCATTACTTTGCCGTATATAACAAATTTGGGGAGGATTCAAACCGAGCGGACATAGCGATGTACATTGAGCCTCAAAGGGTTCACGGTGGGACAGCAACGAGCGCGTCGATCGAAGTCACATTTCGATTTTCTGCAGTTTCGCGAGAGCGCCCACGTTGAGCGACGATCAACGACGATGAGCGCAAAGAGCGATGTCGACGGCAACGGGAAAAAAATGACGCGCCAGCGTTCGGCGGCCACGCGGCTCATTTTTTTCTCTCTCCCTCCCTCTCTCCATCCCTGCCCCCCTCACCCCCTCGAGCCTCTTTTGGCGATTGCACTCACATGACAGCCTACTTTGTTGTCCCTACGCGCGCGCGGGCGCGGATATTATTTACACGGCGGAATATCGGCCCGAGAGAGATATTAGCTTTCAGAAAAATATTTTTCAGCGTGGCGAACGCGCGCCACGAAAAAATACCGCCCCCGGGCTTACGCCCCGGTATATTAACGCCTCCGGCGG